TGGGCGAATGCATACGGCCTGAGTCCTGGATCTACAGCCGGTCCATCCGTGGTCCATCCGGGGTCCAACCGTGGTCAATCCGTGGTCCATCCATGGTCCATCCGTGGTCCAACAGTGGTCCATCTGTGGTCCATCCATAGTCCATCCTTGGTCGATCCGTGGTCCATCCGTGGTCCATCCATGGTCCATCCATGGTCCATCCGTGATCCATCCATGGTCCATCCATGGTCCATCCGTGGTCCAACCGTGGTCCATCCATGGTCTATCCATGGTCCATCCATCCCGGGTTTCTCACTGGGTTTAAGAGTTTTTCATTTGCGGATTCAGGAGGGACCCACGACACTCGACATTCACCATGATTCATGCACATTGGTTTCTGCCCCTTTTGGACCAACGGCTCTATGTGTTTGTTATCATTGCATTTCTTGAGTTTGAAAGGCTTGATTCTCTGGTCTGTGTTGGTGTAACACTAATGTATAGTTAATTCATGATTTTTTAAAAATGGTTTTAGTTACGCAAACACAGAAATAAACTAAATTTGTGGAAGAAGCTTGTGGTGAAGGATGAAAAGGAAAACCAATCATGAAAAATCACACACAAATCTGGCGACTTTGTAAAGTCCTCCGAGATAACTACTGTTGTAATTTAGGGCTGTACAAGAATACATTTCCAGCAGATTAAAGCTATACTGTCAATACAACAGCTACAAGTTTGGACTGTGCCAAAAATCTATGCTTCGATCTCATGTTTTCTGAAAAGGAGGACTGGATCTTTCTCCTGAACCACGTTTTGGAGAAAGAATTTACCCAGGGACAAACACAGGTCTCTCTCAAGATTTAAGATTAAAATTCTCGTCATTGTCACAGAGAGCATCACAGTGAAGTTTAGAGCATGGACGACGCTGCATGGTTTCATGTAAAGTGCATAAACCCCAGGATCCTCATGAATAAATAACACAGAGTAAAGACTTAACCGAATTTGGCATTAGCGCAACAGCAGCACAGCAACAGTACTGTGGGATAGTGACCGGATGGATGGAGCAATGGAAAGACCAGAGAGACCAGAGGGAGGGGTCAGAAATATACCAGGGAGACCAAAGAAAGACCAGGAAGACTGACCATAAAGATAGAGAGGCCAGAGAGAGACCAGAAAGAGAGAGAGAGCAGAGAGAGAGAGGCCAGAGAGAGAGATAGGCCAGAGAGAGAGAGAGAGCAGAGAGGGAGAGGCCAGAGAGAGAGAGAGAGCAGAGAGAGAGAGGCCAGAGAGAGACAGAGTCCAGAGAGAGAGAGAGAGGCCTAAGTGAGACCAGAAAGATAGAGAGGCCGGAGAGAGACCAAAGAGAGAGAGGGGCTGGAGAGATACCAAAGAAAAACCAAGAAGAGAGACCAAAGAGAGAGTAAGTATCCATTACCCATTACTTTGTCCACTAAAAGGCATATTAAAGACATCGTTGTAATGTCCATGGTAAATACATAACACAAAACATGCTGTCTTCACCTTGAATCTAGAATCCAGGACACTTTCTATTCAGTGACCCACAAACGTATCCCTACATTATTCTTCACTCTATTCCCCATCTATGGATTAAAGTAGTCCACTGTCTTCTATCAACTCCCAGGGCTTCACCTTTTGTGTATTTCACCAAACATTTCTCAACCAAAAGCTGGCGCCTCGAGGGTTAACAGCTACATTTCTGTTACTTATTTCGAGGCCTGGAGGACCCCGGCCCACTCCCTCACCTGCCCTGACACCGCGGCCCCCGAGGCTGGTGGTGGGCCCCTCTCAGCTCGGCTAACTCTAACATGGAGTAAGCAATCTGCCTTCCCGGCTGAGTAATTGCGCTGTGGCTGGAGCTTTTTCTGCTGATGATACTGTCAGGGGCCCGAGCCCAGTGTCGGAATGTCCTCGGGGCCCGTTTGATTGTAAGGGAATAACTTTGTTTTACTGTTGTCATAGTCTCGCCGCAATAATTTATCTCCCGCTCATGGAGAGAAATGCCTTTTTTTTTAAGCTATCCACACGGATTCGTCGGGTCGTATTGATGCGTGATGGATAGCGGCTTTTTGGCGTCCAATTTAATATCCCTCAAATGCATCAGCCGTGCTCTGGAGATAAGTGGAAGTATCATTAGCAAAGAATAGTGCCCATGGATAAAAATAATAGCGACTAAGGCAGAGTAGAGCCCGTGATTTAGCTTCGGTGACGGGAGAGAAGTTAGAAGCATCCGGAGAGTCATCAGGGCTGTGTAAAGTGTGTTCTGAAAGGTCTCAAGTCTCATCAATCTTTTGGAAATTATTGTTATGGCTAACTATAAAACACAATGCAGCGTTTTGGTTAAATGAGAAGAAGTCGCTCCAAAAATCAATTGTGTCTTAATCCGCTTGTAATAAATAAGGAATGTGGAGGAATCTTGATAAATTGTTTGTACATATTCTACATTTTGGGGAAACTTGGTCTAACAGATCAGCTGTAGATTGTTGGCAGACATCGACTGGTCGATTTCTCCGATGAACGACCAGCTGAAGCAAATTTACACAATGCCATGACGTGGATATTTTTTATTTTTACTTTTTATTTTGATTTCAGCTCCTGGGGTTGGTTTAGTTTTACTTTGACTGTCCGCCCGCCCTTCTGTGTTCCACCTGTGTCTGTATGTACCTGTGCTCTTCCCCATTTGTTGCTGGTCCATTGTCTTTGTCTGTCGTTTTCCTAGTGCCTGTGTTTTTAATCTTCAATAAATGAATGTATTTTGACATCCCTTCCATATTTTTTCCCACCGTGACAGATTTATAACTACAACATTGGTTTGAGATGGCAGCCCACCTCCAAACTACAATATATCTCACTACTAAAACTTTTACCATTTCACTGACCAAAATCACCCCCACATACAATAAGCAACATTAGCAATCACAAAAACCATACACATTTGCATATTTTTGTTCCAACTATTATCCTAATGAAGCTGTTTTCTTTTTTTTTTCCTTTTCTTAGCTCCCAGGAGCCGGGTGACAAACAACTCAACAACATATGAATGCAAATCATGTGTTTAAGCAGCGACCTAATAGCCATTTGCAACACAATGCTTCACTTTGATCAATTGTACATGCTCCGGCCCCCACGCCTCCTTCGCCTTTCGCCTCTGATTACACTTTTCTTTCTCTTACTCTGAAATGCCACTCGCTGACGTATCGCAGGCCTGGATGCAGAAGTCGTTTAGTAACAATGAGGCCAAATGGTAAGTAAGGGGATGGTAGGTGTATTCACGACACAAGCTCCTACAGTCGCAGATTATAAGTCAGAAGACCATTATGGCTTTGTGGTCTTGCAGTGGACGCGGTGGTAATTACATACTGTGGCTAAATGCAACGACAAGGCCAGTGCATGTGACTTCCAACTGGGTTATTATGAGGAAATGTGTTTGAAAAGCTCTTGCTCGGGGCTTGATCTCACTTTTTCATTCAGGTTTTTTTCTTAGACGATTCAGAAAAACAACTCAGAAACTGACGGTGATGATTTGGGACATTCGTTTATCATTTATGGACAGTGGTAGTCCTGCTCTCTATGAACCAACGGCTTCTTTGTGTTTGTTACTATTGCCTTTCTCGTGTTTGAACTGTTTTATTCTCTGATCTGTTGTTGGCGAATCGACCACTTACACCGCAATTTATGATGGAAAAACAAGCCGGGAATTTCTCAGATTTGGCTAAATGTATCTTAATTCTCCAATGGGACAAAGCAAAATGAACTTGTTTTAAAAAGATACAATAGAGTTCTCCCTTGGAATGAGAAATTAAAGCAACAGTTAAATAAGACTAAATGGCTTTGTCCCATTGGAGAATACAGTTTAAAGACAGTCAGAATTAGCCTGGCCTTATCCATCTGTACACTCCACTAAATCATCATTTCCTGCATGTAACGTCTGGTCCCTGTGTTTGCGATTACAATGAATTCCAATCGACCAATCAGAGAGAGCGGGAGGCGGGTGTTGTAGTTAGATGTGGGTGACGTCAAGAATTAGCGTCGAACAGGCAGGTTGTAGTTTGGCGAAGAATGTGATAGTAAAGTATTCCGGTCTGGTTCTATCAAGAAATAGAAGCTGGAGCAAGAGGAATGTTTAGCAAATGTAATCGCTGGAAAAAATTGTGGCTCTACTCCCCACGGGCTCCGTTAGCAGCAAAGGAGATGGCTAAAGCTAGGCTAAATGCTAACAACTCACTCGGGCTCATTACATACTTCACAGAAACTCAGATCCAATCGTTTCAATCTGCAAAAGAAGTTAACCCCTCCAACCTGTTAACGGACCAGACCTTAGTTATCTGCAGTTCATCCAGAGTGATCATGGGCCTCTTGGCTGCATCTCTGATCAGTCTTCTCCTTGTTTGAGATGAAAGTTTGGAGGGACGGCCGGGTCTTGGTAGATTTGCAGTGGTCTGATACTCCTTCCATCTCGATATAATTGCTTGCACAGTGCTCCTTGAGATGTTTAAAGCTTGGGAAATCTTTTTGTATCCAAATCCGGCTTTAAACTTCTCCACAACAGTATCTCGGACCTGCCTGGTGTGTTCCTTTGTCTTCATGGTTCTCTCTGCGCTTTAAACAGAACCCTGAGACTATCAAAGAGCAGGTGCATTTATACGGAGACTTGATTAGATACTGGTGCATTCTATTTATCATCATCAGTCATTTAGGACAACATTGGATCATTCAAAGATCCTCACTGAACTTCTGGAGTGAGTTTTCTGCACTGAAAGTAAAGGGGCCGAATAATATTACACGCCCCACTTTTCAGTTTTTTATTTGTTAAAAAAGTTTAAATTATCCAATAAATTTCGTTCCACTTCACGATTATGTCCCACTTGTTGTTTATTCATGACAAAAAATAAAAATTTTATATCTTTATGTTTGAAGACTGAAATGTGGCAAAATGTTGAAAGGTTCAAGGGGGCCGAATACTTTCGCAAGGCACTGTAAATCATTAGCATTCCATCCCTTTCATCTTATCTTTCTTTCGAGACAAGAAAGTGTAGTATTGCTTTGGGGCCCAACAGGAGGTCTGTGTGACTCAGAACAGAAGCGAACGGCGGAGGTGGCGGGCTGCTTACCTGTCCGGGCATGGAGTTCTCACACAGGAGCGTCTCGTAGTCGATGGCGAAGACCGGAGCATTGTCGTTTATGTCCAGGACGGAAACCAGGGCAACGCCACGTCCGATCTGGGTGGGGTCCTCTGCAGAAGGAGATCAAACCGTTTTAAGGTAGTATAGAATAGATGTCTACAATCAGGATGAAACGTCTTCTGTTGTGCTCGAAATAACAGGAATTTAGGTTTTGTTCAGCCCTGAATTACAACAGCAGTCGTTTTGAAAGGGAATCACAGGATTGTCGATTCACAAAAGTAGATTAGATAAAACGGCAAAGAGTCATTTGGGCCATAGGATTAGGGTTAACCAATGCCCATGAAGATTGACCCTCCTGTATCGTCAAGGACCATCTCTCGGCTGTTTAAGGGGACATACTGTAAATGATCTTGTTTTGTTAAGCACTTTGTATGAACTGTGTTAGACCAATAAACTTGCCTCGCGTAGGACATTGGACGTTTTCTTTCAAGCAGGCTCTCATTGGCACATGCAACAGTCCTGATTATCTCCTGTTTGGTTGGCTGTAATGGTGTGGTTACGGCTAAAATTGACAAAAATCTAACTTTAGATCCATCTAAAGCAACAATTCTCTCTTTTTCTTTACAATTAGCAGAAATAGTAAAATATTGGGAAAAGGTGACAGACTTGACACCAATATTAGATTGTTGAGAAATCCCTGCTGTTGTCTTTTCAAAATAAGATGGTTGTCCCAAGTATATTTTGTGGAGGCCAGATTCCACCAACCAACCAGATGTTTTGATAATGAATAATTGTCTTTGTCCATCCTCTAGCAGTTTTAAGAATTGTGAATTCTGAGCAAATGTTATTGTATCTATGTCCGGCACAATACACATTTTTACATACAGTGTATCAATAAAACAGACAAAAAAAACTTGAAAATGGTTCAAAAGGTTTGCTCAGACTCGCCCTGTTTTAAGCTTTCATGGTGAAAAATGTGGATTTTCGCTGATTTTAAGCCTTTTTACTGAGTCTCAGACAGAAAAGATAGGGTCGAACTTGAACATTGTTTAAAGAACCGTCATTTTTGAGCAAAGCTATCTCTGACTCGCCTCAGTCACAGTGAAAATTGTGGACGTTAGCCCGAGTTTAAGACAGTCTACGTCAGATCCAGCTCCTTTAAATCAACTTCAACGCCGCATTCTCAGGTAGAAAGGAAAGGCTCAAACTTGGACGTGAAAATTCAGAGGCAAGACTAAACTCGATCTATAAAAAAAAAAAACAACTCCAATGGACCAGAGTCTGAGGGAAGCAGACCAGACAAAGACTCGACCAGAAAGTGAGGATAATTAAATTGAAACAAAATTGGACTTGGTTCCAAAGTTATTATTACACCAACTTTCATTTCCACTCCTGCTTAAGCGCTGGGTCAAATTATGGAATATTGATCTTCTTGCTGTGATTTTAATTAACGAGAACAGAGCAGAGGGAGAGTGCCGGACTAATGAAATATGCTCCGTGCTTCTGACAACTGCTGCACAAAATGAGCTGCGAAGTCCGACCGGTTTTCTCCTAAAGTGGCCAGAACCTCACGGAATCTCTTTTAATTATTAAGAGCGAGGAGCGCAATCGTTATCCTGTGATTCTTTTTGAAAATAACACAATCGCACGATGTGACTTTCCCATTAGAGGGTCTGCAAACGCCGGATAAGACGAGATAAGCCTTTTACTTATTCCACTCACACTTCGGGAACAGCAGGAGAATCGGCAGAAGAAGAGTTTCAAAAGACCGCGGATCAAACCCATGTGTGCGATCACCTTCAATCGACGACATGGACAAGGATTAATCCCAGGTAAAGTAAGTTTGGGTTGCTCCAGTCGGATTTAAGATTGAGATAAGATTAAGAGATCCGTTGTTTGTACCATAGTGGGGACATTTCAGTGTTGCGTCGTAAACTTGTTAGGAATGAGGAGCACATAGCACAAGATAAAAGCATACAAAATGAGGTAATAAATGCCCAAATAAAGTGGATTTTTATCTTAAAGTGAAAGCCTGTTTTAACCCTTTCACATTCACTCCAAAAAAATGTATTCTTCAGATTTTGGTCTTGACTTTTTCAAACTCCTTTTTCGAGCTGGATTTTTTTATATTATCATGTATTGTTTCTTTTTTTTATTCTGTTGTTGTTTTTTGTTCTTGTTGGCCATGGCTTGAAATAAAGTATTCATTCATTCATTTATTTTCTAAAATGTAGGATTACTAATAACGCAAATCATTTTTACAATAATAGTCTTTTTGTTTTATTGTTATTTTTTTTAATTATAGGCCTTTACCAAAATGGTTGTTATGCAGTTATTTGGTAGAAACGCCTAAAACCAAGCATGGCTAAAGTAGATATTGGCTCAAAAGGTGATCTATAAAACTATTAAAGGGTTAAAACAAAATTTACCATATGGGACGTAGCCATTTAGATTCGTTATTTTGACTGCTTTTATAAAACAATATCATTTTGGTCCCATCAACAAATCTTGTTTTAAGGCTCAGACTGAATATGCTCAAATAAAGAGACATTTTCCCAAATTTCAGCATTTTTTGACTACATTTTTATTACTTTTTGCAGTGTAGGAAGCGAACCCGACTAGTTTGAAAGTTGTATCAAAGTTTGGAGGCTATTCGCGGTCCGTTCCCGAAGCATCAGCAATGACACAGTGTGACATTTGGGCTGAAGACCTGTTACTTACTTTCAAGCCAAAACACAACTTGTTTACGCCGGAAAGACACTGGATTTAGAAGCGGTGAAGGAACACACTGAGCCGGACCGGAAAAGGCTTTGATACTGTCACTTCGCTGCCAGTTAAAAATGGGTTAGTGGTAGGAGTGCCTTGGTCTGGGACAGTTCAGTGGCATGAGTGGGTGCAGAGAGACCATTGCGGGTGACGGGTTGAGGGTGACATTCTCGCCACGGTCGTGTGACACCCTTAAAAAGGACACGCACCGCCCCTGGGTCAGTTGTTGACGTGGGCGTGGGCCGCGGGGGGAGATGACTGACTGAGACGCAAAATGCACGAGCTCCCGTCATATACCGAGTGTCTATGTCAATGTGAGCCGCCGAGATGACACGCCGCTAAAAATACCCGCACTGAGAATGAAGGGATCTGGAGAGAGCCGTGGTCACATGGTGTGGGGAGATTTATAACTTTACAAGGACAGTGTGTTGTAATTATTAATTCAGACCAATTTCAATGCATTTTTTTCTTGTACAGCATTAAATCACAACAGTAGTGTTCTTCGGAGGACTTTACAAAGCTGTTGAATTTGCCTACACAGATCAGAGAATAAAACAGTTTACACATTATTACACAGGAAATGCAATGATAAAAAACAGATAAAGCCATTGGTCCATAAGAGGCAGAGACCAATGTCCATAAATGTTGATAAATGTCCATAGATGTTGAATGTGGAGTGTCCTGGATTATCACTACTGTCCTTAGACCCATCGGCAAGAAAAAACTCAACAAAAAAAGATAGAAACCTGGGGACACCTTGTAGATCCAGTACTCAGGCTGAGGTCTCCAACCTTTTTCAATCAGAGAGCTACTTTTATACAACAGAAGAGGCAGAGAGCTACTTTTATACAACAGAAGAGGCAGAGAGCTACTTTTATACAACAGAAGAGGAAGAGAGTTACTCCTTTTTGCAGTTGTAAATAACTCTATGTAATAATCATGACAAAACATGGGAAAACAGATAAAAAATACCATAAAACCGTATAACCCTATATGTATACTTATAATACATGCAAAAGTGAATCATTCAGGATTATGCGTTAAATTCTAAATCCTTTGGGGAGTTACCTGAAAAGGGCTGGCGAGCTACAGGTAGCTCCCAAGCCCCCTGGCATAAATGCTTCCGTCACCTCCGGTCGCTCTGCCTAAAACCTTCCAATCAGGTCCGAAATCTTGGAGTAATATTTGACTCAGACTAGAATTATTGCAGCCACATCAAAGCAGGTTTTTAGGGGCTGTAAATCTAAATTTGAGATTCCAATATCTCGGCCTAACTACTATCAGTTACATCAGTATTGGAAAAGAGCATGGTTTCTAAATGCCTTTTGACAGATTAGGGCCATTTAATGATGACTTCACATGAAAATCTTACATATTGCTATTCTAAAAAAAGTAGTCAAAAAAACCCTACTTTTTTGGGGGGTCTCTTTGACGGCTCTTTGATGTGAGCCGTCAAAGAGACTGCTCTGGGAGTCCTAGTGTTAAACTTCTGCTCTCTCTGATCCTCAACACATCACTTTTATGGCACATTGCCGTCTCTCGATGCATGAGGGGCCGCGGTGACATTTGGTGAGACTGTTATTGTCTTCTGCTTTGGTGCTATATCAGGCAGGCCTCACACTCGGATCAACAGAGGAGCCCGCGCCCTCAGATGTAAATAAAAACAGGCCTTTAAAGCCTAAGATGATAAAAAAGAGGCTTGAAAGACAGAATCCAGAGCGTGTGTTTATAGATATGAAGCGAGGGAGACGGCGGCGGTTCTTTCAGAGATGAGGATGTGGAGGTGAGCTGCCGACTGCGGAGGTGGAAGTTCCAACAGGCAGATTTGTATGGTAAAATGACTACTGTGCTAATGCTAATGCTATAGCAGATTATTAGGGATAGGATTGGATTTGATGCGGTGTGGATTTTTGTTGATTTGAAGTTTTTCTCTATCTTGTTTTGTTAAGTTCTTGTGTATGAACTGTGCTCTACAAATATACTTTCCTTACCATCTGTTCCTCAAATTGTTTCTTCCATGTGTCACTTTTAGTTGTATGTATGTATTTGTTGCATGGATGGATGTATGGGGATCAATAAAGTATCTATCTACCCATCTATACTGTACCTATGTTGGCTCTTCCTATCATTATGAAGCAGAATTAGTTTGATTGTTTACCCACTAATAGGGAACTGGAGACAGGTTAGTTTTACCGCACTGATGTAGTGTTTTGGCAATAGTATTCATACGTGACGGTTGCATGAGCTTTGACAAAGTCTTGTCCTGCTGTGACGCCAAAACTATACAATAAAGTTAAAAAAGTGAGGTTGAAATCATGATGAATGCTGCTTGTGAAAAACAAAAACAGGATTTGGTTCGAAATGTGTCCAATGTGTGAAAATCTGAGCTCAATCCCAAGTTATTGTTTCATCTCCTCTCACGGAAATATTCTGTTTCATCTCACGCCGAGCTGTTTTATGTTATGGACATATTTCCAATCTCAATATTGATCCAAAACGTCAACATTTCTGAAAACGGAATCAGAAACGTGTTGTATTTTTATTTCATGCAGCTTTCAAAGAATGAATATTCAAAGTGACCGAGGATCAGTGGGCGGCGAAAACGGTGCGGTTGAAGAGAAGGCGATTTCAATAAAGAATTGACAAGGATTTCTAACACATACATGTATAATAAATAACCTTCAAAGTGTTATATAATTCAGCTGCGTTGATAAGTAAGTAGGAGGCATTTATTACATATTTCAAAAGCATTTCAAAGTTGAGTTTTTGGTAATATGTCTCAATTAAAGGAAACTGCAATGCTTTTCTCTCCTTCACTGCCTCCAGGCTACATTAAGGTCGTAAATACTTTGACAAGGCAACGTTTAGGGCCACTGCGAAAGCCAAAATATTAAGTAACGTTAAAAAATGTGAGAATTTATGATGAAAAACAGAAACAAAGAGAGTTATCTGTCACCTCCAGCCTCTCTCTCTACAACCTTCAACTAAATCAGGTCCGAAATCTACAGGTAATACTGGTGGTTTTATTAGCCTCTGCAGCTTGAGTCCGGACTAGAACCAGAAAGTACCATTACATTAGTCCAGTTCTCAGGTCTTTCACTGGCTTTTTGTGGCTCGGAGAAGCTTTCCAAGTCTCTCCATGGCCTTGCTTAGTCTCTAAAGCAGACTTTACTATCCAGTAGGTCGGACTGCTGTAACGACTGCTCTCTCTGGTCTCTCCAAACTCCAAATTCTGCCGCTCCACTCTTGACTAGAACCAGGAAGTACCACCGCATTAGTCCTGGTCTCAGGTCTCTGCACTGGGCTCCTGTGGCTCAGAGAATTGACTTTAAAGCAGTCTCTCCATGGCCTTTTATCCTTTTCTCTTTCTTCTGTAAGCTATTAAACATATGTACCAACATTTGCTACATATGTTCACATAATATACATCAATGTAATGTTCTTGACCTGATTGCTGAATGAATCTTGTTTATCTTTAAGAAACAATTCAACCAATGTTTCTTATAAAATCCGCCGTGGCACTGAGCTGCTAATGACTCTGGCAACCTTTTGGAGAAGTTCAGGAGTGCATTCTGAGCCGGCAAATTGTGGCCAATTACAAACACATGGCAACGCGTTTCACACTCTCACGTCATGGGCTTTTCTGGGTAATGTCACTGGATCTGACAAATACAGCGGTTTGAGCAACACTTAGGTAAAAAGGTTACTGTACACGTGCTGCAGAGGGATCACGGTGTAGTTTTCATGAAAAAAACACAGACTTTTTTTCTAATAACAGATCAACTTTCTGTTCAGATCCGAGCAATTAAGTGAAAATTCAGAGAAGGCTGTAGTTTTAGCCTACACTTAGAAATAATAGATCTATCGACACTTAGATACGTCTGACTGGTTCAACTACACTACTGCGCTAATGCTAATGCTATAGCAGATTATTATGGATAGTTCCAACAGGCTAATTTGCAAGGTTAAAAATACTACTGTGCTAATGCTAATGCCATGGCAGATTATTAGAGATACATCAGACTGTTTTTCACTTAATGCAGTAGTTTAAAAAAAAATCTACAGTATTCACTCAGATGCCAATAGGGAAAGAATCGACAATGGAAACGAAACATTAAAGGACAACATTTTTAGTATTTTGATCAATTTCAGAAATAGTTACAAGGAGAAGTTACAAAACGCACAATTGTTAGGTTAAACCCGACACCTTGTAGCTATAAAAGTTACATTTATAAACCATTACAGGGGTTTCAAAGTTGGTGGACAGAATCAAGTATTTTTTCTTATGTACGCTGCAGCCATTTGCTTATTTTCCGCTTATTTTCCGCAAAACACCAGCACAGATCATGTTTTAGTTCCTTGATATTGATTGGTGTCTTGATTATGGCAATTGTTCTGGCATGATGTATTTATAATGAATCCAAATATATCCTATAAAGTTGTTTCTTCAATGGCATAGGAGTGAAAATGGACTGTATTGATAGCATGGCTTTTTAATGTCATTATTTACTACCTCAAGGCCACCCAACCACCCATAACGAGATACTCCATGCATTGTTGACTGAAATAGGATTGGTAGGGTCTGGTGCATGGGACTTACGGCTCTCGATGGCGAAGATGGTGAGGTTGTGGACAGAGTTGGCCTCTCGGTCCAGAGGTTTGGCCGTGCTGATGACTCCGCTGAGGGCGTCCACGTTGAAGAAGCGTTCTAGGTCCGTGTTTCTGTCGATGGAATACCTGGCAACACAGAAGGCAACAGTCAACATCAGCGTCATGGTGTAGACGATGCTTTTTTTTTATCAACGACCGAGGTGAAAAGTGTAGATCTGAGGACTATGGTTTCAGATGGAATTTGGAAATCTTTAGTAGTCTGTGCATTGCTGTTCACCCACAGTCTCTTTACCCATGAATCTGGCCTCTTTTACCGCCTGGGAGGCTCTTCAGTCCTGGATCTACAGCCTCAGTCCTGGGTCTACAGCCTCAGTCCTGGATCTACAGCCTCAGTCCTGGGTCTACAGATGTCAAAGATGGCGCCTCGTACGGTCGACATGGCTCTTTGCTGCTCTCTTTTTCTTTTGTTTTTACTTTTTAACTGTGCATCTGGCTGTTCCTACACCCGTGAGGAACTTATGAACATCCGACCCACCGTTCCCATGGACCTATTGCCTGTTTTCTTGGCATCTGCGGCTGATTTAGTTCATGTTCTAGCCAAAAAAGTGTGGGCCCGTAAAAGGGGAAAGCGCGGAGGCCTGCTCGTGCGTCTTAGGAGGAGAGGAGCGCGCACGGCTCTCCCCGGCATTTTTCTCTCCAACGTACGCTCACTGGGCAATAAGATGGACAAACTCAGCCTGCTCATGAGAAGAAACAAGGACTTCGCCACATCCTGTGTCCTCTGCTTCACTGAGACCTGGCTAAATGAGCGGATCCCGGACTGCGCTCTGGAGCTGCAGGGCTTTGGGCTGTTCCGCGCGGATCGCCATTGTGCGCTCTCAGGGAAGAGCAGAGGCGGAGGGCTGTGTTTCTACGTCAATACAAACTGGTGTAACGATGTGACAGTGATCTCCAAGCACTGCTCTCCTGCTCTGGAATATCTTTTCATTCATTGTAAACCATATTACTCCCCGCGGGAAATTGTTTCATTCATTCTTGCCTCTGTTTACATACCGCCATGCGCGGACGCGCGCGAGGCTCAGCGCGCACTTGCAGAGCAAGTACTGTGTATGGAACGTTTATACCCGGACTCTCTGATTATTATCCTGGGGGATTTTAATAAGGGAAACTTGAGCCAGGAATTACCCAAATACAGACAGTTTATCAAATGCCCGACCAGAGAGGAGAACACTCTGGATCACTGCTACACCACCGTGCGCGGAGCTTTTCGCGCTGTTCCCAAGCCAGCCCTCGGCTTCTCAGATCACTCCATGATACATCTGGTTCCTGCTTACAGACAGAGACTAAAGCTCTCGAAACCTGCAGTGAGGAGCTCCAAAGTGTGGTCTGATGAAGCTGTGGAAGAGCTGCGCGCATGCATGGAATCTACAGACTGGGACCTTTTCAGAGCTGCCACAGACAGCTTGGATGAATACACGGACACTGTGACGTCATACATTCACTTCTGTGAGGATAGCATCATTCCAACAAGGACCAGGGTCATCTATAACAACGACAAACCCTGGTTCACTGCTAAACTCCGGCAGCTCAGGAAAGCAAAGGAGTCTGCTTTCAGGGAGGGGGACCGCAGCGGCTACAAAGCAGCTAAATATCAGTTCAGGAAAGAACTGAAAGCAGCCAAGTCCCGGCACAGAGAACGACTACAGGAGCAGTTTGGTAACAACGATACTGCTTCTGTCTGGAGGGGCCTACGGGAGATCACCAACTACAAACCCAAAGCCCCCCCCTGTGCTGATGACCACAAGCTAGCTGACGATCTGAACTTATTTTTCAGTCGCTTTGATGCTGCCCCTGACACCTCTCCCTCCCCCACCCCCCACTACTCTAACGACCCACCCATCAGCCCTGCCCCCAGCCTAACAATAGCCGCTAAAGAGATTAAACAACTCTTCCTGAGGCTGCACCCCCGCAAAGCTCCTGGCCCGGACCACGTGTCTCCGGCCACTCTGAGACACTGCGCCAGTGAGCTTACTCCTGTGTTCACGGACATTTTCAACACCTCTCTGCAGTCCTGCCATGTCCCGGCCTGCTTCAAATCCTCCATCATTGTCCCCGTCCCGAAGAAGCCCAGGATCACAGGACTCAATGACTACAGACCTGTAGCACTTACGTCTGTCGTCATGAAGTCATTTGAACGCCTGGTTCTCTCCCATCTCAAGTCCCTCCCTCCCCCCTCCTGGACCCCCTGCAGTTCGCCTACAGAGCCAACAGATCTGTAGACGACGCCATTAACCTGGCCCTCCACCACATCCTACAGCACCTGGACTCCCCGGGGACCTACGCCAGGGTCCTGTTCGTGGACTTCAGCTCTGCCTTCAACACAATCCTGCCATCCCTGCTCCAGGACAAGCTCTCCCAGCTCAACGTGCCCGATTCCACCTGCAGGTGGATCACTGACTTCCTGACGGACAGGAAGCAGCGAGTGCGTCTGGGGAAGAATGTCTCGGACTCTCGGATTATAAATACAGGAGCCCCACAGGGCTGTGTTCTTTCTCCCCTGCTCTTCTCCCTGTACACCAACCACTGCACCTCCAGCCACGACTCCGTGAAGCTGATCAAGTTCGCGGACGACACCACCCTCATTGGACTCATCCCAACAACGATGAGTCCGCCTACAGGAGGGAGGTGGACCGGCTGGTGTCCTGGTGCAGTGGTAACAACCTGGAGCTGAACGCCCAGAAGACAGTGGAGATGATTGTGGACTTCAGGAAGAGCACTGTCCCCCCCCCCCCACCCTCCGTGATGGACTCCCCCATCACCTCTGTGGAGTCCTTCCGTTTCCTGGGCACCACCATCACCCAGGACCTCAAGTGGGAGCCGACCATCAGCTCCCTCATCAAGAAGGCCCAGCAGAGGATGTACTTCCTGCGGCAGCTCAGGAAAGCCAAGCTGCCTGCACAGATGTTGGTGCAGTTCTACACGGCCATCATCGAGTCCATCCTCACCTCCTCCATCACCGTGTGGTTCGCTGGAGCCACAGTCAGGGACAAACAGAGACTACAGCGCATTGTGCGCTCTGCAGAGGAAGTGATCGGCCGCAGCCTTCCATCGCTGCAGGACCTGTACGTCGCCCGAGCTCGAGGCCGGGCTGGTCGTATCACAGCCGACCCCTCTCACCTGCACATGGACTATTCCAACCACTCCCTCTCACCTGCACATGGACTATTCCAACCACTCCCCTCAGGCAGGAGGCTGCGGTCCATCAGGACTAGAACCTCCCGCCACAAGAACAGTTTCTTCCCCTCTGCTGTTGGACTCTTGAACACTTCTTAACCTGTCCCCCCGCCCTTTTAAAGTCACTTTACTGCCCATCATACGTCACTTTACTTCACTGTACTGCTGTCACCTTACATTGTGTGCACCATGTGCACTTGTATATTGTAAATAGTAACTGTAACTCTATTTTAAATTTAAATTTATTCTTTAGAAGTGTTTTTTTATTCTATTTTTATTATCTCTTTTTGACTGTTGCACTGAGCCAAAGCAATTTCCAAGTCTGTGACCTCCTGTTACTTACGTTGGCAATAAAAATGATTCTGATTCTGATTCTGATTCTGATTCTACAGCCTCAGTCCTGGGTCTACAGCCTCAGTCCTGGATCTACAGCCTTAGTCCTGGATCTACAGCCTCAGTCCTGGATCTACAGCACCAGTCCTGGGTCTACAGTCTCAGTCCTGGGTCTACAGCCTCAGTCCTGGATCTACAGTCTCAGTCCTGGATCTACAGCCTTAGTCCTGGATCTACAGCCTTAGTCCTGGATCTACAGCCTTAGTCCTGGATCTACAGCCTCAGTCCTGGATCTACAGCCCCAGTCCTGGTTCTACAGTCTCAGTCCTGGGTCTACAGCCTCAGTCCTGGATCTACAGTCTCAGTCCTGGATCTACAGTCTCAGTCCTGGATCTACAGTCTCAGTCCTGGGTCTACAGCCTCAGTCTTGGATCTACAGTCCCAGTCCTGGATCTACAGCCTCAGTCCTGGATCTACAGTCTCAGTCCTGGATCTACAGCCTTAGTCCTGGATCTACAGCCTCAGTCCTGGATCTACAGTACAGTCTCAGTCCTGGGTCTACAGCCTCAGTCCTCATTCTACAGTCTGAGTCTTGGATCTACAGCCTCAGTCCTGGATCTACACCCTCGTTTCTTGTTTGATTCTCTGATCTGTTGTTGAGGAATCGACAAAATGGTAAAGACCTCCAAGACAACTGCTGATGTGATTTAGGACAGCACAAAAACAAATGGAATGGAAATGGAATTGAATATTGGGATTTTCATTCATCTCATCTCAGTGTTAGTAGTTACGTTATTTTTATTTTTTTGCCTGCACTACCCTAAGCTACCACCAGAGGCCTGTGTTGATTATTGATTTGTTTAACTAAGAAAAAATCTATGGGCAAAACTGCTCTGAGTGTGATGTCATAGTGCTGCAATGACATCATACTGTTGCAGGACTTGGATGCACGGACAGATGTAAAAGCGACTCCAGGTCAGTGACTGTTGAGGTTTGAGTTTGCACGATACATCTGCTTCAGAGCAACTTTGAACCACAGAACTTGAGATAATCCGAGTGAAATGAGCGGCTATCAACAGCTCGATCTGTGTCAAAGCCGTTTCTCTCTGATTGCAATAAAGTTTTTCCCACTGAAGTCGGAGATACCGCACTCCAGCCGACTTCACTTTTGGCCATTTCGGGGCATCATCCCTTCTCATAATAATAACTGATTAAATGTGATTAAAAAAAGATCCATTAAAAACCTCAATCGTCGCCTGAACCTCCTCAACAGGCGACCATTCCCCGCACAAAAAGTCCCCACTCCGATTAGCCTTTTTTCCAATGGGTATTATTGCGACGTAATTTGACTCTTTGTGGCATTAGTTCCACAATCATTTCCATTTCAACAGATGTAGTGAAATACATTGCAGGCGGCGATGACAAAAAATAGAAGCAATTTGCGCCGACAATGGTGCCATAATTTGATTTTGTGATTAGGATTACTAACAATCCGAACAGCGTGAGGTTGAATGCCGAACAATTTTCATTCAATTAATGGGAACAGAGGAAGGAGTTGG